AGAAACGTTAGCACGTGAAAGGAACGAAGAGTATTCGACAGGGAGTGGTGAGCGTGTTATATTTCGAGTCCCGGTATATATTATTTATGAAGATCTTTGTGCAGATTCTGGAATATCGATCCTCTTTCGTTGAATATGTGAAATGTCAAGCATAAAATATTGTTCACGTCTCGCTCTATCTCCGCTTTTTTTTTCCTCCCTCTCTACTCAAAGCCCTTCCAACTACCACGGGAATAATTACGCTCAAGTGATTAACTACAATATGCATGTTGCATTACTTTGCATTTTAAAAGAGATACAGTATGAAAAGCGTTTAATAACACGGCTGTCCGCGTGCATTTACGAGTTTTATTGAATAATCATAAACCGACTGTTGCTCCTTCCCATGATCAAACTTTTGTATCCCATCGATTACGCTGGATTGGCGAACAAAGTATCCCGTAAATATTTCCCCGAGATATATTTGCTCGCAATATTCTTAAGAAGTTAAGGATGTAAGTTACTTTCTAGTAATTGTTTAGAAAAATATAATTCGTTGAGAAAGAAAGAGAAGAAAATACACGAGTAAATCTCACGAGCAATAAGTGTACGTATTAAAATCCCTCTAACCTCCTCTAAGTCATTCCTTTTCCTCGAATTTATCGCAGAACTGAAACAAATCACCGTCAAATGTAATCTAGGGGCCATTGTACTATATTTCCTCGTAACACAGACACACACAATCTCCGCGGAGAAATCCTTCCAGAAAAGTGGAGCACCACAGGAAGGTGTCACGCATAACCCAGGCGGCCAAGAATTTTCCGCGAGAATGTCGCGTGCTCGGGCGTTTCGCGCAAGAGTGCACACTTTGTTACTAAGAGATCCAGGAGGTACATCAAAGAAGAACCACGCCAGATTCCCCAATGGAATCTCGACGATTTCGAAGAGCCTGGAGAGAAAACCTCCTCTCCGCCTCGAGCTTGCACGCGACTCGGACAAATCTATACGCGGGTCTGTGACGTCGAGAAATCGATGGAAATTGCACAGACACGGATGATTTTGCCACCGTAGTGACGAAAAAAAGGGAGAAAGAAAGAAGTGACGAGAGGAAAGGTTGTTGATGTGACAGCGGATGGGTGGAATTCGAACGAGCAACAAAACAAGAGGGAATCGATCGCTCGAACTAGCCTGCGTTTACGTTCAACAGGCCGGAAATGGCGTGCACGTGTAACAGTGTTTTTAGAGGAATCCCGTTCGCTGAGAGCGGACGATCGACTAATAATAGATGTGATAATATTTGCTCGACCCGTACAGGGCTGGTTCCCTGCTCTAACGGGACGATTGTGCACGTCGCGCGTTTGCCCAAGATTATTTTCAGAGTGTGCCGGCAATAGGTACTTGGACGTTAATTCGCTTCGGCTGATGAAGAGGAGGGAAGATGGACTCGAACCGTCTGGGAAGCGAGATGGGCTACTTTCTAACTGTAGAAATTGCAAAAGTGATCAGTTTTAATTGTGCACTTGAACGATTTGAAATTACAAAAGTAGAAATTACAGATTTGATTAGAGAGCGTATACACGGAGAGATGATTGCGAAAGGAGACAGTTAATTTCACAAATTAAGAATCAGAGAGAATTAAATGTTCAGTAGAAAACGATCTTCTCCCGTTGAAATCTTTCACACAGAATTCGCGAATGGAACAATTAATTTCACGTTTGATACTGTTTGTTTCACTCAGAATTAAGCGTATTTATTAAACTATCTTCGTCATCGAAACGAGGGACTTTTCACGAACGTTTCATTCTCGATTACGTTTTCCCCACAATTTTCCATTATACCGAGAAATGACTTCTTTTTTGCATTCGTAATGTCGCTGGCAATAAAAACTATTCTTTTTCCATTGTACATACCAAGAAAGCTATTGTGTACAATTTGCTTTATCTAGGATCAGAGAAGAAAAGGAACGAACGAACGCAACAGCGTGTGCACACGTTGGCTATAGCAAACGAATATTCGCCGCGGCGGATTTAATTCGAAAATTCCAATTCATCGTTTTGGTGAATTAGTCCGGGCGAATAAAGCTGCAGGTTGGACGAGATGCGATGAATTATTCAATAAACGTTCCACGTTCGCCGGAGCGTTTCGCGGGGAGAACCCATCGCAATTCACCCCTCTACGATCATGTTTGTAAAGACGTTTCAGTATTCGTTCGCGATTATACGCAGCATCGTCACGCTATTGCGGCTCTCTGAGTCACTTTTAACGTGGCCGGGTGTAATAAAAATCTCGCGGAACGATTGCAGTCGGCGCGTAAAAAAGAATTTAATCTCGTTATAATTACGCTAATAACACGACCGCCCTGTAAGCTGTATCGATACGCGTCGAAGTCACGAGAATGATGGATTAATTACAAGGTGGAAATGAACGACATTACGACACACGTGCGTCACATCGAAGGAATGTACAAAGAGGTGACCGTAGATCGATAGAATGAAAATGGTAAAACACACTTTTTATTGTTTTAAAATGTCGATGAATTCTTTTTAACGTTCCCCTTACGCAGAAACGGTAGGGTACGCTTTATCTGGTACATACATACCACTGCATACTGTAAAATCAATGTAAAATACTGCATTCTTCTTGCTGTTGTAAGTAACACAAGTTTGTCACGCTTTTGGACCCGCAACACGATGGAAATTTCGACTGTGTAAGTTGGATCGAATCGTCTGATAAGAAAGTAGTAAAATTTCACGAATTCTTCTGCGTGGAATGAAATTTCGATTAAACTCGTCGTGTGAAAGAAACTGCTTGTCGAACGAGAAGAGAGAGAAAAAAAAAGGAAGAATCATGGTTCAGAGGCGTGAATGATGGACACGGTCTAACCGGCTCGTGCTTTCGACGTTCGCCTTTTCTCTCCTCCTCCTCCTCCAACTATTTCTTTCCTTTTTTCAGCCAACGATTCGAGTTAATTAGCGACGCTCGTATAACGAGGCGATTCGAAATTCTGATTTATAATCCCCTTGAGCCAGGCCGTGGCGATGTAAATCTCCACGGGATCGATAAACCCAGCTCGGTTGCATCGACCACCAGCAAGGGTGGTGCTTTATAACTAGCCGGGGTGAAGGAACTCTGTGGATCTTACGCGATGGGCCAAGTTTTCTGCACGACCCTGTGCTGTCTACGATGCACCGTTGGGAAGTGGAAGTTGTAGAACAATTTAATTGCCGCCCGTTTTACGCCCGACTTCCGCTTTGATAGACCTTTTTCTCTTCCCCTATTTAGTAACATTCGTCGCGATTCTTTCCCAAATATTTACATTGTGAAAATTTCTTCTTTTCACGATTTTCAATAGCCGCAACGTTTAAATATGATTTATCAAAGAATTAGAGGGAATGAAGGAATCATTGTTCGATGCTTCTCGGTTTCGTAGCTCTGTAGATTGACGAACAAGCGACTGTCATCGCTGTCAGTTATTATTCTCTCGAGTTTGCGAAGCTTTAAGTTGGAACAGTTATTCAGAAGTTCCTGCTTCCATTGGACGAAACAGCGATTGACGGACGCTTTAGAATATTCGTACAGCTTTGTTCTAGCGAGCAGCGATTCTTTTATTCCTCGTAACTTTTTAATAAATCATTCTCGGACATCACTTCATCTAAACTTTTTCCCCCCGTTCAACCTGCTGAATACGCTCTATCAATTTCGCATTCACCTGTTAAACATTCTCTCTGATATATTCAAAGCCCAAAGTAAATTAACTATATAAAGGGGGGGAAAGCACGATCGTTCTTCCAGCGGTATACTTAAGCTAACCCACATTCCCCCAGAATTTATATAGAACAATTAATTCTCACTTAAGGTAAGCGCAGCTAGTCAGGGGTAGATTATAAGGGTAACTACGTGCTGGAAGACGCAACAATGAATAACTGCGCAGTAATGTAGCCGTTTCGAGATCCTCGAAGCGATACCCTGGCTTAATGAAGCGCCCCCACTTCATAAAGCTGATATTTGCGAATAAATCGTGGTACGTTCACCGTGTTAGCTACGGCGCCACCCCTTCGAAATTGATAACGGGAGATCTCGTGTGTAATTTTCGTTGGAAAAATTGATCTCGATGCGCGCCGCTCGCGAATTCACGAAAGTGCCCTATTTTAGGGATTCATAACTCTCCACGTCGGAAGGCAATTCTTTTCGTTGGGAATACCTCATCGCGAAAGTGATTCGTTTTAATTGAGAACGATGCCTCGGTTTCGTGTCGCGAGATTCTACCCTCCCGAACCCCCTCTTTCCCGCTCTTATAATTCGATTTTCCGATCCGCCGCGTTCACTTTGTCTCTAACACGCGCAACCTTCTGCATAGCCAACACGTGTCCTTTAATACGGATCCAACATCGGATCCGCGGCGATTTATTGTCACTTCCGACGGCATAAATAGCTACCGTGCGCTGTGAATCTTTCCAGATTAATATCTGGCCCTCTCCTCCTCTGTTATAAATATGACTCGAGATTGCGGAGTCACGTGGAACGTTTAAGCTCGAAAATTTCTCTCGCTTGTGTGCCTCTCGTGAAAAATGCCAGCTGATTTTAACTATTTAATTAGCTTGGCATTAATGTAAACGCTTGAACAATGATTAAACACTCCGAGTCGTATGTTACTCGGTTAAATACCAACTTCGTAAACTGCTGATCGTGGTGAAAAGTTCTTAATCGAAGTCACGGTAACGCGAAATTAACCGAAGGAGTAATAAGAGATATCTTCTGATAGGGTAAATACAGTGGAAAGAAAAAGTATTTGCAATAGAACACCCCTTATATTTCATTTCGTCCTCATTGGCATATAAATATTTTGAGTAGTATGCAATTTTCAAGAATTTTGCAACGTATGCAGCCATTAAAGAAATTGTGAAGTATGCTCCCTTGTCTGCTGTCAATTTTCGAAGGATAAATTTTTCGAAACTTTTCAAGGTACCTGAAGGACCTATTCGTGGACACACGGTGTAAAATGCAAAGTAATTCATACTCACGCTGGTTCTCCATTCTGTTCCAGATGCACCACGTTCCCGCTCAACGTCTCGATCTCCTGAGGTCGCTTCACAACGTGCATTCCAGTCTTCTCCCTCGGCGAGGACACTCCTCTAACAGTGTCCACGCTAACTCCGGTATCCGTGGACCTCACGCTCTCTATAGATTCTACAGACACCCCCGCGGACGATTTCACGGACGTACGACCACTTCCGTGATTCTCTTGTCGTGCTTTCACCCCGGCGTTGTTCGCGCTTTTCATATCGTTGCTCACTGCACCACCCACGTTGGAAACATTATTAACCTTAGAGGCTGTAGATTGATCGGAAACAGGGATACCTTTCACCGTTACCGAAATCGAGTTTCCAACAACCTTCGTTTCGGAATCGTTGACAGACTTCGAAACTACTTTCACGTCTTCTTGCCTGACCGAAGCACTCGCGATGGATGAACAAGTCCTTTGAGTCTCCGTATTCGAAGAATTTTTGCTAGAATCGTTCGTCTGTTGTTCACCGTCGTTCGTTTTAGCTGAATTAATTATCGATCCAGAATGCGACGAGGTGGTGTCCTCGATCTTGTGATCGTTAGACCTGGAATTCTTCATGTTCTGATCGTTCACCGTGTTCTGATTCCTGTTAGAACGCAGCGTCGCTGAACCAGTGTTGTTCGTAGCACTGTTCACTTTAATTACGCTTCTTACCGATTGACTGACGCTGTTACTCTTCGAATGACTTCCGGTTTTATCTGTAGGAACTGGAGATTCGTTCCTGCTGTCCATCCCACCTTTCGTTCGATTGTAGTTTGTCGACTTGTTAGACCTCGATGTCTGAGAATTCGTTTGACGATGCTCCTCGCTGGTAACTGCTTGAGAATTTTGTCTAGTAGAAGTGTCATCGTTGGACGAATTGGAAGATTTGTTGTTGGAAAGATCTTGCTGACTCTTCGTCTTCTCGTTCCTCCTGTCGGTGACGTCTCTATCCAGAAGAACCGCGTTGGCGTCGATGTGCAACGGCTGAACAGCCGTCGTTGCCGTTGTATTCACCACGCTGGATGTCCCCGTTGCCGTGGAAGTTTGCTTCAGAAGATCTATCAGATCCAGATCGCCGCTTCGATCGTTGCTTTTCTCGCTCACTTGAGATCCTTTCGATCCACCTTCGGACTTCTTGCTACCCTGACTGGACTCGTTTATCTTCTCGTTGCTTATACGAACCTCCTTGGACCCTTTATTATCGGCCGCTTTTTTGCTCTTCTCGTTAGGCTGATTGGAAATGGTGATGAACCTCGCCGGATTCAAGGAATTCGAGCTGACTCTGTTCGTTTTCAACGGGATCTTCGACGGAGACGTTAGCCGTTCTTTGCTCGTCGTTCTTTTCGGAGCTTTAACCTTCTCCTGGTTTTGTTTCTTCGCGTTCCAGGCATTCTTCGATGGAGACGCGGCAAATCTCTGCTGTTTCGACGGCGACGGCCTCGTGGAATCTTTCGAACGGTCCCTTTTCGTGAACATCGGCGTTCTTTCCGGTTTCGTCGGAGTTCCCTGAATCGGGGATAGTTTGCTAGGCGTTCTGGAGACTTGTCGACGCGTGGCGAGGTTCGTGACGCTGTTGCTGTTTCCGGAGGCGTTCAAACGATTCCTGGAATCCGTCGTGTTCAAACGAGTCCGCGAGTCCACGCGACGGCCAATTTTCGGCGAGGAGAGACGCTCGGTTGATTTGCTGAGGGACGTCGAACGCTGCCGTGTCGGCTGGGGGATCAGACTCCTCCTTGGGCTACTCTGTTGCGATACTGAAACTGACAATTGCGAAACAAACGATGACACGGACCTATTCGTATACAAAATAACACGGAGAGCAGACAAAATATCGATAATTACAAATTTGAAAAAATATTAATATTATTATTAAAATACAATACTTTTGTCACAATAATGAAATTAAACGCTTTATTCCAAAAGACACAACTTCGAGGTCAAAGATAGAAGATCTCTTCTTTGGACATTTCATTAAAAATCTTACCTCGTCGATCATTTCTGCCTCTCCTCCTAGGATCCGCAGCTTCCGGTGACTGTGGCCTGGACTTAGATCGCGGCGGCGGTCCCTTGAACCCTCGTCCTCGAAAGGGCGAGACTCTTCCGGTGGCCAGCGTCGGCGACGGGCTCCTCACCTCCGGGGAAACTGGCCTCGAGTCCGCGATGATCACGAAGCTGGACCGCCGGTGCGCCCTCGAGGACGACGTGGAGGAGGGCGCGATCTTGTACGGCTCGGGTGCACGCGGTGGCGGCGGCGGTATCGCGGTTGGTGACAGGTAATTCCCGTCGGGTACCGCGAGCACCCTGAACGGAGGCGGTCGTTGAGCATGGCCGTCGTCGAGCCGCCTCATCCTTTCGAGGCCCCGAAGCTGCAACGCGAAAATCACCACAGTTCGACTTTACAATCTTTTATGGAAGCAATTAGCAGTTATGGTAAATGCCACTCTCGTGGTACTTTTAACGGCGAAAAAAGGCATTTCCTTGGTAGTATTTTCAGTTTGATTTTTAACGCCGAGTACTCTAGATGTGTTGAAAGCAATGAATCTTTTGTTAGACACTTCGAGTGGGATATTAGAGTAAGAGAAATTGAAATTGAAATGGCTACTTTATTATTTCACGTATATTTGAAAACAGTTAAACGGCTAATCCTGATACCAAAATTTAGAATTTAATATATTAATATCACTTTATAGAAATGTTTCAAGAAGTTTCTGAAAATGTACACTTTAACTCACCCAATTGTACTATTCACAAAAAGTTAATTCAAGGGTAAATTGGTTTGGGGAACGAAGCTCACTCGACTGCACAATTATACCGAATGAATCGTCTGGTACATCTACATTGAACAAATTCATTATCTTCCCCCTAATCTCACGTCTTATTTGCATTTCGTCTACGCGGTACATTGGCCCAACTATGATTCAACGCTCGTCCAACGGGCCAACGTGCACCAAAAGTTCTTTTCATTTGCCATGATAACGTGGTATCTCGTTGTCCCGCTGACGCAGCCCAAACTTTCTACTCCCTTTTGCTTTGATAAAAGCACCTCTGCCCGATGAAAGTTCTACATGACACCGAACACGTTAATAACGACCACTACCCGACGTAATAATACTCTAAAGAGCTTGAAACAAGAACTAACAGGGTTAAATAATTAGAGATGACGAGGGCAATTTAACCCAGAATTAGGAGTCCTAATCTTCGTTCTGTTGTATTTACGGTTGTAGAAATAAGATAACAAATCAAGAAGGCTCTATTTATCTCACTTTCTCAACTTGAAATTCCCCTTATCCCGAGATCTATCGATGATGATTCAGATCGATGATTTCACGAAAAATTCACAAAAATAACGTAGGGTTAAGCGTTACACTGAACTACAAATAAACGACAGTACCTCGAGTCCTTCATGCAGACGACCAGGATGCGGAGGACGCCAAGATCCTTTGTCGCTCTCACCTGAAACACAGAAGAAACCTATCTGAGACCACCGCTAGACGAGACACAGTCTTTTAAAAACCTATCCGGTGAAACTTCGATCCATTAGAATTTCAGATTCACGCCAATTACACCATCGAAATGATCATCATCGCGAACACTCGGAGCAATCCTAATGTTTTCAACGTTTAATGCCACGTTTTCTCGATATCCATTGAACGTCGAACAGCTCGTAAATGCTCGTTTCTTCGTTCATTAACGATCACCAACGAGCGTGTTTAATCGAATTAGTTCATTCCCCTTTCGCGCGGTGTTCGCGTGAAATTTCCAACGCCTCCCTGTTCCGTGCGGCTACGCGAGAACAAAAAGCCAGGCTGTGGTCCCCGGAAGTTCGGCGCAAAAAAGCAATTCCCTGAAAAATATTCAACATCTAACGAATCGTGTAGCTGGAAGAGCTGAAGGGCCTCAAGCTCTTCCTCCTTTTTTCCTCTCCTTTCTTCTCCGGCCCGCTTTCCGCCGCGAGGATCAGATTCAAACGGCCGCCTGGCAATTAGCCGGGCCTCGTGCAACATCCGTGATTATTCGTTGACGGTTGCAATTACTCACTCTAGTTGTAGCGAGCCTCGTCGAGCGGACACCAGCCTCTACGCATTTTATTCACGCTCTCATAGGCGGGAATGCCTCGTCTCGATCGCGTCAGTCTCGCTAGCGATGCTTATTATCGCGATACCGTGACGCTGCTGAACTACATTTTTCCTACTCTACTTTTCTCTCTCTCTCTCTCTCTCTTTCGTTTCAACGTTCGTGGGGAAAAAGGAAATTGATAACATTGTGAAATTGCGAATTTTCTTCGGGAGAGATTCTCCTTTGTGGAAGTTGATTTTTCGAAGACTTCTTAGTTTTTTTTTTATCTTCGTCGTTTCTTCCTTCTTCGCGTTCGTCGAACGAGGGAAAACGAGATTGATAACATTGTGAAATAAGAATTTTTTTGGCGAGAGATACTTCCCGTGGAAGTTGATTTTTTCAGCGTATTTCTTGGAAACGATTTCCCTTGGCTCGTTAAAAATGTTCTTTGTTACTCGTGTAGCTTCTTCTCTTTTAATTTCAGAAGTTTACTTTGCGAACGTTTCTCGTTGTTTCATCTGTGCTTGCAGCTTTTCTACAAATTCCACTTTTCTTCCTTTTTTCTTTCTTTTCGCAGATATTCACGTTTCACTCATTTTTCTCTGCCTCGTGGAAGCTTTTTAATTTACATGTATCTTGCTCTCCTGTTTTAAAGAGATAATACTTTAAACTCTTTTTTTCTCGTTTCGAGAAACCTCGAGTCTGGGATATTCTTCCGCGTCCACCTAACGAAGTTACCTATTTTTTTCCCCTCTTTCGCGAGGATAACGGTCATGCAACAAAGGGAAAACTTGCGAGATTACACGGCCCGTAAAAAAATCATTTCAAGAGTTTATTTTTAATACAGATAATTGTGAGCGAAGTGGATGAGAAAATGGGTCAACGGGATCATAGGAAACTGTTACACGTGTTTATTATCGCGATAAATCTTTTTCTACGATTTCACTGCTTCCGCCTTTTCTTCTATTGCTTCTTTTACAATTAAACGCATTAAGGATACACTGGTGCGTTCGCTATCTTGGAAAATCCAACGATTATTTGTACTAACAAACATTCGTATGAAACAGTTTCACTTTATTGCCGTTGTTCCATCGTAGCACTGATTAATGTGAAATTTTCACTTTTATTTCCTCATCAATCACCAAACACATACTTTTTTCAACACCTATTATTACACATCTTCAATTACTCACAAGTTGCAAATACCGCTAGGCAAAGCTTTAAATTATCGCAATATATTTTTCCATAGTGTTTTCTTATTTTCCATCTCGAACTTAACGACACAATTCCGTAAGCGATTAATTAATTATACGTGACAGAGATGTCAAAGGTGTCGAAATCGAGGAGGACCAGAAAAATAACGCAAGCGTCTTGCGCCGGATAACTTTTTCTTACGCTCTCTCAAATTTTGCGACACAATTTCGTGAGCGATCGATTAACTATATGTCGCAGAGATAGCTGAGGTGTCGGAATCGAGGAGAAATCATAGAAATAATGCAAAATAATCACAGAGATAACGATGATCGACGTGCCAACCGGTGGTAACGATACCGATGCACCGCGTCGACGTTCTCCACGACGGTGGTCCCCGTAGAATCTGCATCGCGTCCAGTGACATTCCTTAAACCGCCACGGGACACGCTGAGCAGCATGAAGGATTGGGCTTGAACGTGGCCGGAGCAAGGCCTCGTGGCCGAAATGTGATTCAACGATGGCTCGCGTCGGCGACGCGTTGATTTACGACGACCAGCTTGTATCGAATTAATGGACGGGCCAATGAAGACGCGATTTGCGAGCACCGTACGAGTACGTTTACCGAGAGTTACTGCACGCTTTCTAGAAATCTGTCTCCCGTGAATCGCGCCAAGAGCTATCTCCAACTGAGTAAACTTCTTTTACTCGAACAAAGTTAATCGTGGTGGAGGAAAAATGCTCGAGATGAAAGCTTCTTTTCGTAGAAATTTTATTTTTACTTTTGCGAAATTTCCATTCTACAGTGTGTAGAATTGTGTTCGATTTAGGAATCAGATGTACGCGGAACAGAAGGAATCATTGGAGCGAAGTGATCGCGTTCTGAACCCTCACAATCCATCATAACGAAGAAAAAATATTAGCGATGAAAGCTCGTTCTTTCATAGAAATTTTATTTTTACTTTTGCAAAATTTCGATTCCATGCGATACTAAAGTGTGTAGAATTACGTTTGATTTGGAAATTAGATATACGCGGAACAGAAGGAATCATTGGAGCGAAGTGATCGCGTTCTAAACCCCCACAGTCCTTCCTAGTGAAGGAAAAATGCTGCAAATAAAAGCTCATTGATCTTCGATAAGATTTCCTCTCTTCATTTTCGAATATTGAAATTCCATGTGATACTAAGGGATGCAGAATTGTAATTAAAAGCTCGTTGATCTACGACAGAATTTTCTTTAATTTTTAATTAATACTAACAAAATGTAGAATTGTGTTGGATACAGAAGTTAGATGTACATAGAACAGAGGGAACCGTTTGAGCGAAGTGATCGCTTCGTAAAGCACGGCTCGACTGCTCTTGAGCAACATCGACGATGAGTAAATGAGATGGTTTCCGGTAATTAGGTTGCTTAAATCGTTAATAGGAAGCCGCTAGACTCGTCTGGGCTCTCGAACTGGGACTGGCGCGTAAAAATGCGCGAAACGGTTCGTACATCTGTGAAACCCGAAGCGGGGGGTAAAAGAAATGCCGGAGAACCGCTTTGAAAAACGGTGTTTAGAAACGGTGTATCTTATCTCTTCTAACGAGGACTGTATTATATGATAGCGTACGGAATAAAATTAATGTCTTCATCTTTTTAATACGGTTAACTTCTTGTAGATACAGTTTTGATAACGCGAATGCGGTGATTAAGGTAAATGTTAAATGTGAGTTTCGTGTTGAACAGTACGGTACACGGTTCTGAGAATCGTTGAAAAAGATTCATTCGTGACCTTGACACCGTGAAAACTACACATGAGATACGAGTGCGGGGGCACGTGACGTGATCGACGATTTTCCACGCGCATTCGTATGGATCCGCGCGCACTCTATCTAATTGCAATCGGGAATCGGAAATACGGCGAAAGCGTGAGGGCTTGGAGGCTGTTTAAATTTCGTGAAACTCTCGATCGAAATACCTGCGATATCCATAAAAGTCAATACATAAAAGGATAAATTCTACGAAAGAAAGATGATTTACAAATCTACCCCTTTAAAATTTACAAAACGAAGTCTGATCCCTCGAGTTACTCGAATCGTCGAAGGAAACGTTCTCCGCAAATTTTCACCCCGTAACGCGATCAATCTTCCAATTACCACAGGCGCGCGTGAAGCAAAAAGGGAAAAGAAGAGTTCGTCACCGATTGCTCAATCAATTAGCAAGCACAAGCGTCACCCCTATCAAAGAAGAAAGAAGAAAGACGTCTCTACGCTTGGTCTCGCCTTCATTTTCGCAGGCAAGTTAACGCTTGGAGGCCTAACGAGCCACGTTTAACGAGGCCCAGGCGAAACATCTCCCCGTGATCGACGTTATAAATAACGATTTAGCGAAGATGAGGCGCGGCAAAGTGACGTACGTCACTTTTAATTAGCATCGGTTGCGCAACGTCTCAATTAAGTGGCGCTTTCCGCCGGCTCAACACTCCGAGACCGCGGTTTTTCTTCTTTCCACCGCTTATAATTGACGTGTCGCAATCTGTTTATCGGCTGGCCGAACCACGAGAAACTCGGGGATGGGAATAGTAAATCAGCGAGCCGTTAACGAGAATGGAAAACGTCGGAATCGGCTAGCAGCTGAGGGATCAACGACCCCTCGTAACTCTCTATACACCTGTGCGTTGTGTTCGCTTGGCAAAGGAAGTTCCGCGCGGCGTAACGATCATGTAACAGCCGATTATTTCGCGGGGCAGTCGAGCAAGGATTGTCGAGTTAATTGTTACGCGGGTACCCGACGACCACGCGTCCCGTATTCTCTCGCGAAACTCGTCCGAGTGTAATTCGGCCGTCGTGTAACGATTATTGCACGTTCGAACGTTGCCAATTTGTGTGACAAGTTTGTCGGGAGAAAGAAAATCACAAAATTCCTTTTCCTTTCTTCGCAAATATTTATTTCTCATAATGCACGGTTCCTTTTTTACGTGAAGTAAAAAATTATTATAATTTTATTCACTATGCAGCTGTGCAATATTTCGCTGTAATCTTATTTGCATAATTATATACCAAAAGTAACGATACCTTTTTTCCAAGGAAGAAACCTCGCCGTCGTGAAGGGAGAGAAATTGTTTCTTAAATTTTAAAAAATCGGGAAAAATGAAGGGAAACGAGGGCGGAAGTGGCGAAGCGAAAGGAATCGAAGTGAAATTTTAAACGGGGAATTGACGATATATATTTTTCAGAGGTGCGAAACTACCTTCTAGTAGCAGAACTTCGAGCCGCGTGCGTAATTGCAAGTCCATGGAAATTGCGGTTGGAACCGCGAATTACACACGTGAACGCGACACTTGGTTGCAGTGTCGTTACCTCGACGACGAAGTACAAGACCCTTCCGTTCTCGAAACTGGTTTCAGTAAAGTGTTAACGTTCGAACGTTCGATCGAGGTTAATTCGAAACGATAAATTTCGACGTAACCGAGAGATTACACGTTGCATTATATTTCTTCGCGCATTTTCTTCTTTCCCCTCACACCCGTTACAAGGAAACGATCAGGCACACGTTACTCTTCGTCGTCCCCGCGACGAAACTTCTCGCGTGCCACTTTGTGTCGTTGCTTTAATTCAAACGAATCTCACCGGCCAGTTCTAAGCATCGTGTTCCTTGACAATTGTCATCGATCAAAGGCGAGAGTGCAAGTGTGTGCATGCATATTAATTCCGCGGTGCCGCGGACACGTCAGAAAACGATGTATTAAACGGTACAAACATCCCCGAGTCCCGAAAAACCTTCGACAGAAACGATGCAGAGAAAAGCACCGCGAACGAAATTAACCTAAAACTGCAGCATCCGAATTTCCATCGATTTTTTAAATAATTAATTTCAACTTGGACTATAGAAGGAGATAACGTTTAGCGTGTTTGTTGTTTAAAAAAGTTTAGTATGAAACAGAGGAGAGGTATCGTTCGGCGAAGGAGGAAGGAAATTCCGTAGGATTTTTCCTGGCTAAGTGGAACAGTCGGACTTTTATCGATCTGATTCAAATCCGTCCACAAAGACCGCCACGAGGGTGGCGCGCAAGCTTTTCTCCGCCAGTTTTCGTCACCAGTAACGAACCGCGTAACTTCCACTCCGCGATTCCATCCGTTAATCCGTCATTCTACAATTTCCTCGTATATCTTCGAACTGAAGCTGAACGAACCACGGGAAATTCGTAGAGAAGGGTACGATATACATGCATAGATGCACGTTAAGGGAAGAACCGCAACAAGTATTCGCTTAGTATTAGTGGCCGTCGTAATAATCGCGTTGGTTTCGCCGTTGATTCTTATCAAGGCTAGACCAAAAAAAGGTATGACCCATGAAATTTCAAGTACGACCTCGTGCGCCAGTCACGAGAGTCCAGTCCGCGCGAATTCCACCAATGCGTCAGAAATTGAAAGGAATTACACTGGTACCCTGACAGAGCCACGAAGAACACCCTAACTCACTCTCGGGAGACCAACGGAACGATCAAGCTCGATACTCAAATTCTCTATTCTTGTTGCTCCAGTTCATTCAACAACTTTCCACAAGATACTATCTTGATCTTCGAGCTGATTCCAATCACTTTCAATCAGCTCCCACTTATTATTCCACCTTATTCAGCGTCTGCGTACGTTTCCAATCGCATTTCCAACGCATCTAAACTCCCTCTCTCTATCTCTCTTTTACGTTCCACTTGGTCAACGATAACATTCACGATGATCCAAACTTCGTCGATCGAACAACGATCCAATTTACCTCACCTGAATCAGACCGGTGTTCTCGATGAATGCGTTACGTACACGTCGAAGAAGAGAACTTCAGCGTCTTACCTGGCTACCAGGTGGACAGCGAAGCGGAGTCGCCGGACAGGGTGCATTTACGAGGGTGCGAGCCTCAAGGAAGCGTCGGTAGTCGGCATCGATGTGCCGCGGCGTCGGTCCGCGTCTTCGCGTGAGCACGAACGCGTCCTTACTGCCGCGGGGTTGGCCGGCTCGGCTGTTCGTCGAGAAAGCGAGGGTACGAGCTGGTCACTCGGGAGGCGCTGGCGCGATGACCAACCGTCGGGGAAACGTGGTCGGTTTATCAGGCAACTTCGACATGCAGATTTTAATTGACGAACATACTCGGATCGAGAGTGAACCGAACTGATTGCAGAACGACAGAAGTGTCTCGCTGCGGAGATACTGGAGGTTCGGCCTGCTTGAAGATGACCTTCGCGAGGATAAGATCTGAGTATTTTCGTGGCATTTATGAGTGTTTGTAAGTAGCAAAAATTTTGTACAATTTCTTTTAGTACACAGCGCAGATTTTTAGAAAAAATCTTTAGCGAAGGCAGGCCATCCTTTTACAACTTTTTTTTAGTAAAGAAGGAGACATTTTAGAACATTTCTTAACGAAATGGTCAGCTTTTCAAAAGGCAACATTTTACAAAATTTTTTTAATGGAAAAGCCATCGTCTTTTTAATAAGGGATGTATTTGAATGGACAGATTAGGGCAACGGACACCCTGAGGATGTTGAGACGTAATTTTAGACTGGGAATATCTCCTACAGGATTGCGAATCCTTCAGGAATAGTAGGTAATTATGAATGGTAATAAAGGAAAGTGTATTCCAGTTGAGTTGCACGAAATAAAAGCAAGTTTGCATTACACGAACTCGAAATTTACGAATTCTTTCATTCCCAACACACCTGAAGCTCTGAACTCACAAAGAAAATCGTAAACCAACGATGGAGCATAGGATTGTTTTCAATTTCCTTACATAATGTCCGTCCACGCAATAGATCGCGTACACACCGCGAAAAGTGTTACACCGCTTACGGATAATCGGATATATATCGTTCGGATACGCGTTTATACGGGAGTATTCTATAACGCGACGAGGCAGGCGAGGCCGTTCATTCATTCATTTGGTCGAGCTAGGTCTACTGGATCGAAATTATTGGAACATTAGCTTGATTGAAGCGGGCTGGGCTCGGCCCGATCGTACGATCGATATCCCGTGCATGTGTGTGTGTGTTTCTGCGGCGTTTGAAACTACGTGCGGCAACGATTGCGCCAAATTAATGGCGCTAAAATTCTCATTAAAGTGGAATTTATCGAGTCCATTCGAAGCCAGAAACACTGACTTTTGTAGATTGAAATTTTCACACAGAGGAGGACGAAATTAAAACTCGATAAGATATTCGTTTGAAAATTCCATTTCGAAACGCGTACAATTGATAAAGTAATCAACGAGCAAACAGAAACTAATATTTTTAAATATGACGTGATGCAGATTCGTCGTATACTCTTTCGTATATGAAAAACAAAAAAAAAAAAATAGATAAAGATTAATCGGTTTCTTTTTAAACACATTTTATTCGATCGTATATGTACAGTTTACATAATCATCGTCGCCACGTTACATATAGTACATCCGACTTCGAGTTAAATGGGTAACTGTTTACTATGGGAAATAATTCCGTGCGAAGTCCAAAGCGATCAGTCCGTTTCTCCGACGAAATCTCAGCCAAGATCGATTACGCCACCGAAGAATATACGTATATATACGTTTGGTCCTTCGTATATAAAGGTCCTTTCCTCCTTTCTACTTTTCGGGCTTTCGTTTCTCCTATCAAACGGCTAAGAAATGCAACGAGGTAGTTGAGAAAATCGGAAATATCCTATTCTTCTTCCGGCTGGTTTTGCTATCGGCACATGTGTCTAGCGCTGCTGCTGTGTGTCATCCGCGAAACAAATCGAGGCGGAACAGCGTACGCGCCCGTGCTAGCAAAACCGCTGGGTTACAGTGCAATCTTGAACAGGCGAATCGATAAAGCTCGGTGAACCTCTGCTTTGTTAGTTTTCTCTTTTTGGCCAACTTTTACGTTCGAACGTGCTGCAAAACTTTTTCCTTTTTATAAAGTATCAACTTTGTGAAAAGTAGATGCGTTAAATAACTTGGATAAATATGAAGTTTCAGTGTGAAAAAGAAAGAAGTAGAAAAAATGGCAATTCAGGAGTGTACTGTAGTTGAATTAAAAAATATTACATTGACACACGTTGCCCGCGATTAATCAACATTTCGAAACCGATCGAATTCGTGAAGTTACGTCGAACACGATTTTTCTGCATTTTTGCAAATTCCTGAAGTACCGTTTTTTCGTTTCTTTCTTCTCTTCTCTCTCTCTCTCTCTCTCTCTGAATAACTTGTATCGTAATGTTCGTTTACCGGATCGCTCTCGTAGACGCGTTCCTGAAGTACCGTTTTTTCGTTTCTTTCTTCTCTTCTCTCTCTCTCTCTGAATAACTTGTATCGTAATGTTCGTTTACCGGATCGCTCTCGTAGACGCCACCTCGAATGTACGTTGTTCCAGCCCGAGGAAAATTGAAACTGACGGAAATATACTTGGCGACGTGTTCCCAATCGATATTTTTCATTGCTCTTTGTATATCCAGAACAACTCGAGCACCGATAATACCGGTGACTCATGCACCTTCCTTAATTAATGGTCATTAACTCAAAACAGCGTTGCGCTTAACGAGTCACGATAAAAATCAATCGGCTTCGAGAAACTGTAGCGAGGTTTCACTCGAATTTCGTCGCTTTCTGGACTCTTTCTGCATAAAGGTGAACAGCCTAAAAATACGCGATCTTCCCGACGTTTTGTTTCTGCCTTGAACGCAAAGGAATCTGCTTTTCTTCTTCCTGTATGTGTATTTCTCTTTCTCTCTCCCTGTGTGTACGTGTGTGCGCGTGTGTGTTGTGTGTGTGTGATTTCCATTGCACGTATATCTTCGATCACCGGTGTCACTCCTTCTTTCAGCTCTTCGTTTTACGTAAATCGAAAAAATGGGGAAGGAATATTGGTTTTCTTCGATAGCTCGTAAATATCAATACTGCCATTATTATCGATTAATCGTCCGAGTAATCACGACGATTCGTGGTAAAATATTGCGTAAAATTGCATAAGATCGGCAATTTTTTTTTTTTCTTTTTTTTCTTATTCGACCCTCTTTCAGTGGGAAAAATGATTAGGAAATACGATTATTAAATATGACCGCTAAATGTTTCTTCTCAAAGCCACTGTCGATTAGAATTTTATTTTTGTATTTTTTGTAACTTTTTCTCTCTCTCGCTCTCTCTCTCGAGGTTATATTTGCGATACTGATCGATTTATTATTAGTCGTAACAATTCGTGAAAGTACAGAGAGTATAGGGATTAATTTCGAAGTAATTTTTTTTTTTTTTTATATTGCATAGAAGGCTAAAATACTTGTAAAGTGAGTAAAAGTTTACAGCTTTCCTTCGTCGTCCTTATCTGTAGGAGGACTGTTCTCTATCAACGGAAGGATCGATTGTAAATTCGATCGAAGTACAGCGAGCTTGGGATTAACATCGAAACCAGATAACGATCCGTTTCCGATCGGCTTATTTTTCATTACACGCCTGTGGTATTATACTTCTCTCTTTTCTTTTTTTTTCCCCCGTAAAGATTTATTAGATATTCTTTCAAACGAAACTCGTGTGTGTAACAAAGAGACATGCAAAAGAAAACAGATAATTATACTATGGACAGATTAAAATTCAAGCGATTAATTAAATAAGTACTAAACGTATCAACTGCTCAACTTTGGTACCGTGGTATTACTCTTTCTTTCTTTCTTTTTAACACAGACGATAATCTTCGCGCGAAACAAGTGTTTCTTTGCTTTTCGTTCTTTTTGTCACGTGAACGTTTTCCTCCTGATTTTCATAAATTCATTCCGCGTGAACGCGCACAACGAAGTTCGTAAAACATCTCCCGGGATATACACCTTATGATAATTAGACGAACCGTAATATTGTCGTTACTATGTTTTGCTGTATGTATTTTATTGGAGCACACAAGGAAAATATAACCTATCAAATATCGTTCTATCGCCTAACCTTGTTACGACGATACGTTTAAATAGAACTTCGAGGTTTACGCGTCGACGCCATCGAATGCTATCGTCGTTTCTCGGTATAATTCTCGTGTATCAAATGAATTTTAAAAGACCTCGCCCCACAACGTGAAATAATCGCGTTATACGGCTATGGTCATTGGAAGTAGCACGCACTAATAGTACTGCACTATGAACATAGTGTTCCGACATTCTGACAACGAATTTTCACTTTTAAATATTGTCTCGTTTCAATACACGTGAACGCAATTCGTCCTATAATATTTTAATCGCAGTAACAAGAATAAAAGTTTAGTCATCTAATTTTTTTTTTTTTTTAGTCGGGCTATGTTTTTTTTTTCTCTCTCGATTCTAGAATATGATCTATACAAAACTGTAGAGAATGAAAGAAGAAGAAGAGAAAAGAAGTATAGTGACAAATACGTCCGTTGCACTTTCCGTAAAACATTTCGACGTCGTTTACATACCAAAAGAATTTAACGATTAACTAATTGATCTGTCTAACTAGTTCAAATTAAATTACGCACATTTATCTATAAAAAAAAAAAAAAAAGAATTGACTAATGGAAATATGCTAAACAATCGTGTATCCAGCAATTGTCGTGCGATTGCCGTGAAACCGAACTTTCATTCATCAGGCAAAAACTGTTGCTGTATTACTGTCAACTATACAAAATTAAATAAATATAACTCTATATTCTGCAGTGGTGTATAGAATGTTCTCCCCCTAAGCTACTGATCTTGGTACAGCCTTAGTTTCACATAGTTACAAAAAATAATGCTCTGTTATCTTTAAAGGAACTCCCTGCTGAAATAGTAATAATTTCTTTTTTTTTTTTTTTTTTAAATATCTGCTGGAATACTTTACACTTTTGATCCTGCCTTATCGTAACTCCTCTGAAGCCTCTTATGATCTTTCCTATATTTCTCGATCGTTATATCTGCCTTATCCGTGTTTGACAAGCTTAAAGTAACAGGATCTAAACTCGCTGCAAGTTTCAAATAAGTTTCTTCCATTTCTTTAGTGATCTTCACTTCGTAATCGATATCCACAGTGTCCGCTTTTTTCGCAATGATTTTAGGCAACGGTTTCTCCTCATCGGTTGGAACGTCGAAAGATATTAGATCTTTTTCTTTTTCTGCGTCAATGAAATTTGCATCCAATGAAAAATTATTTACACCATTGTTCAATTTTTCTTCTCCAAACTCTTGGACATGTACCATTAAATTGTCGCACTTATTTTCCGATGAATCCTCGTATAGCTCTCGATTGTTTTCGATCGGTTTAGACTTTGTTTGCGATTCGTTTAAATACATCAACGGAGAATTTTTGTTCGTTACGTTCTCATTAGGCTTTATCTCCGTGTAATTCGGCCCGGAATTGTCCATGTGAACAGAGGACTGAACCCATTCGGCTACTCTTTGTAACTGATTATTGTCATGTAGCAACATCGGAGAGCTTTCTTCGCTACTGGTTGAAATTGATCTTTCAGATCCAGATCGAGACAATTTTTTCGAATGAACTAAAGCGGTATTTGGTTTATTACTTCCACTAGTGTATAATACAGTTTTATAATGTCCAGCATTATCTAAAAGAATATTCTTCGACCCAGGCGTGACTCTGACGAGACAGTTCCTTGGACCAGTTATTCGATTTTGACTATTAGGTTTCGAGTTACCAGTATTGTGCAAACGCGTTCCGGTTGATTGAACGACATCACTAGAACTACTGGAAGGATCGGAAGTTGAAATTACTATACTATCGCTACTAAAACTCGGACTAGTGGCCACTTCCATTTGTCCAGAATCATTTTGGTGCACAACACTATCAATGTTCTTAACTTCTATTAAAGTTAATTGCGCTGGATGATAGGTCTCTTGTGCTGGTTTATCGTTCTTCCAGGATCTATCATTAATTATATCGATCTCTATATCACCGTTAACTTTCTCTTTACTTTCTTTCGTATTAGTTTGTGTCTTCAATTTCGTCCACTCGTTTTTCCACAGTCTATCGTTAATAATATCGATGTGGGTCTGTTCTTTCCCACAGAAGTAATTTTTAGAATTTTCAGGAACTATGTGACTACAATTGGAGGATTTCTTTTCCAATTTGTTCCAAGAATTTGCATTGAATTTAGCATCGACTTGCACTAACTCGCACTTTTTATTCAGTTTCGCTTGTTTTCCCTTATCAAAATTCATTTTACCGTTGCCAAATGTTTCGCTAAGTTTTTGTGGCATTACTTGCTTCGTCGTGTTTTCGCTTTGATTTTGAAATGCACTTTGGAGTTGCAAATCGTTACGGCGCATTGAGTTCTTCTTATTTAAGCTGGCTTTCGTGTTAACATTTACGCGGCTATCCTCCTTTAAACTGTCTAAAATTTTACCATTTCTACTTACACATTTATCTCTTGTGCATAACTGTTGATAGTTACTATTCTTTGTACAATTAATCTGGTATTGTACTTTACTACTAATATTTTCATTTACCTCCTGGTAAACTACGTGCAGCATAGAGTTTTGACTTTCTTTATTTTGGTAATTTTTATCCATACTTTTTATATTATCAGAATGTTTCTCTACATTTTGTGCATACTTCATTGTACATTCATTGCAAGAAAAAGTATCTGGCACGTTAGTTTGTGTTTCAGCATCGATCATTAAAATACTTCTGTGACAAGTACACGTATCGCAATGCTTGCCAAATACTCTTTCTTTCTCCCGATCTTCTAAAACTTTCGCCATTATCGCCGCTGAGACAATGTCCACTGGTGGTTTGGATTCATCTGTATCATCATCACTGAGTTTGTCAGCTGCAGGCTTAGTTACATTATATACCATTGCTGTTGGAGGAAATGTTGAAATTGGTACTGTAATACTTTTTACATCAGGAGGTGCAGCATCAATGGAACGTTTCTTTTGTGCAACATATGTCCTAACTTTGGCTTGAACTTCAGAAGGTAACTGAAACAAACATTAATTGCACACTTACATTTTTTTTTCTTTTGTATTATGAGAATTATTTTTTATTTGAATAAGTATAAACAACTTACAGAATCATATTTTTGTCCAACAAAATTAGCAGGTTTACATTGAAGAAGTTGTATTGCCAAATTTACATCATTCCTATATTTTTCCTAAAATAAAAAATATGTATTTATAAAAATTTTATATATGATTCAATCTAGGATAATAATCATACTCTTATACTTGAAACATACATTGTCTTGGGTTAAACGGTGTATAGTATAGTTTGCATCAGCTAATCTATGAGATAAAGTTGCAATATCCTTAGTAAAAGCACTTTTTTCTGTTTCACATTTATCTACAATCCTCAATAATTTATCTTCAAGATTTTGATTTACTTTCTGAATACGTTTATGGGCCTCATGTAATCTTGCATATTTTTCTTGCCAGATTAATAGTTCTTCCTTCATGGAGGCCAATTCTCCATTTGGAAATTTATCAGCCTCATTCAAAAATTGTGTCTCCATTGTTACAATATGACTATCCCTTTCCATCAGACGTTGGCGTAGATTTTCTATTTCTACATGCAAGTGCATGTCTCCATGTTGCTGATCATTTTGATTGCAGCTTACACATTTGCAGCCACATTCCTAAAACATATGATTGCAACAAAACATTTTTTACATATGGTAACAAACATGAAACATGAATAAAAGATCAAAGGTCAATTAAACACATTTAAGTTTTTCCTTTACCATATTTCTTCCTGTAATTATTGTATA